TGAATTGCTGGGTCAGTGGAAACAACACCAAACTCTTCTCTAAAGTGATTGTTCTAAGCTATGCTCCTACCAGCAATGTGTTTCTGTCACTTCATGTCCTTGCAGACACTTCTATCGGCAGTCTTCTAAGCTTTGATGATGGGCTTATTCTGGTGGGGTAGTGGTGTGTCAGTGTGGCTATGGTTTACATGTCCCCATGATTGCTAGAGTCGTACACCTTGTCATATGTTTATGGGCCACTTAGATGTTTTTGTGTGAAATGCCAGTTCAGATTCTTTGCTTATTTTTCTTTTGTTTGTATTTTAAAAAGTATTCTTTAGAGGCTCTGGATATTAGTCCTTTGTGGGTTATAGCTGTTGCAACTTTCTCCCTCTCTGGGACTTATCTTTTCACATCTCTTAAAGATGGCTTTTGATGTCAGAAGCTTTTAATTTTAATATTCTTAATTGTATCAGTCTTTTCCTTTACAGTTAGTGCTTTTTGGTTATTAACTTTATTGATAGTCCTGTCTAAGAAGTCTTTATACTAAAAGCATGAGTATATTCTCCAATATTTAAGAGATTTGTTGTTTTACGTTTTATAAAATGGCATAAATTAGAGGCTAATCTTTATTGAGATATAATTTACACACAGTATGCCCATTTCAATTAAAATTTTTATTTTTTACTTTTTTGTAGAGGCGAGGTCTCACTATGCTGCCCAGACTAGTCTTGAACTTCTGACCTCAAGCAATCCTCCTACTTTAGCCTTCCAAAGAACTGGGATTACAGGTGTGAGCCACCGCACCTGGCCTACAGCATGCCAATTTCAAATATACAGTCCTTTGAGCTTTGACAAATGCTTGCTGTTGTATAGCCATTATTATAGCCATGATAAGAACTTGGGCTCTTCTGTAGTCCCTTTTCATTCTCCCTGGCCTCTGGCAGCATTTGATTTGCTTCCTTTTACTAGAGTTTTCTTGCTTTTTCTAGAATTTCATATAAATAGAATCACACAATGTATAGCCTTTTTCATCAGCCTTCTTTCACTCAGCATAATGCTTTTGAAAATCATCTGTGTTGTGTGTATCTGTAGTTTGTTCCTTTTTATTGCTGAGTGATATTCCATTATGTGGATATATTACACTTTTGTTTATTTGCCAGTTGATGGACATTGGGTTGTTTCCAGTTTGGAGCTATTATGAATTTAGCTACTATGAACGTTCACATGCAAGTCTATAGAAACATAAGACTTGGTAGAATTACTGAGTGTGTTTAAGTTGAAATAGTCAAACAGCTTACCAAAGGGTAACCAAACCATTTTGCATTCCCACCAGTGATACATGAGAGATCTAGTTACTAAGCTTGCCAGCACTTGGTATTGTAAGTCTTTAATTTTAGCCATTCAGTTGTTATTAAATAAAGATATTTACACTGTTAAAGATGCTTAGGTATATCTTATTGTGGTTTTGGTTTGCATCTTATGATTCACAGTATTGAGCATGTTTTCATATGCTTATTTGCCACCTGTTTTAGTCAGTTCAGACTGCTATAATAAAACTACCATAGATCAGGGAGCTTAAACAACAAGCATTTATTGCTCACATTCTGGAGGCTGGGAAGTGCAAGGTCAGCTTCAGCAAATCTAGTGTGTGATGAGGGCCCTTCCTGTTTGCAGATGGATGTGTTTTTGATTTTTGTATGTGGTGTGAGATGGGGAACGTTTTATTTTTTGGCCTTCCTGATGAGCACTATTCATGGAAAAGACTACCCTTTTGCCTCTGTGCTGCAGCATTGCTCTGGCAGTGAGTTGACAGTCTGTCTTGGCACAGGCACTCTTGAGTGCTCTCTCTTCTGTTCCGTTAGTGGATTTAGCTTTCAGCCAGTACCACACTGCCATAATTACTACAGCTTTGTAAGAAGTCTTGATAACTTGGGGAGGACATTCTCTCAGTTTGTTCTTTTTAAAGAGTATCCTGACTATTCCTGGTCCTTTGCATTTTTATGTATCTTTTAGAATCATCTTGTCAAATTCAAACAGGAAAACCTGTTAGGATCTGGACTGAGGTTGCATTAAATGTATGGAGGTGGGACCCAAAAAACCCCAGAATTTATTTACAAGGAATTGTGTATTCTTCCATGTTTAAACCCCAGTCACCTTCAAAGTACTTTTCGTTTGATGTAATACACCTATCAAGACACTTTTTTCTACTGCTCAAAACGGTTTTTGAACTCATCAGTTTTTTGTTTGTTTGTTTGTTTTGTTTTTTGAGTCAGAGTCTTACTCTGTCACTCAGCCTGGAGGGCAGTAGCACGCTTATGGCCACTGCAGTCTCAAACTGCCAGACTCAGGCAATCTTTCTGCCTCAGCTGGAACTACAGGTGCACACCACCACGCCTGGCTAATTTTTTGATTTATTGTAGAGATGAGGTCTCACCAAGTTGCCCAGGCTGGTCTCAAACCTGTGGGCTCAGACAATCCTCTCACCTCAGCCTCCCAAAGTGCTAGGATTGTAGGCATGAGCCACCACGCATGACTGAACTCATCAGTTTTGATGCCTTTTAGTGCTTCTGCCGTTTTAAAATTTCACCTCTTCCACACTGGCAAACCATTGACCTTTGAGGACTTTTTTCATCTGGGGAAACAAAAAAAAAGTCACTCAGGGTAAGATTGGATGAATAGAGAGGGTGGGACAAGTGAGTCATGCTAATTTTAGCCACAAACTGCTGAAAACTCAGCATGGTGTGGGCAGGTGCACTCATAAGTCACCCATCATGAAATGGGCAAATGTACTGAAAGAATCTTCAAAAAAAATTCACTGAAGCAGAATGAATGCAGTCTTAAAAATAATGCTAGCTGGTATACTGATGCTGGTGTGGGTTCCTGGAATACTTAATCTAGCTAGGAAGGTCTGCACTACAAGGGACCTGCCCTCCAAATAATAATTCCAGTTTTTTGAGGGGTCTCCCCCCTTGTATAAATCCAGTTTGATTGATATTTTTTATAATACTGAGTTTTAAATTCATGTACATGATATAATCTCCATTTATTAAGGTCTTTAAAAACTTTTTGTTAATGTTTACTGTTAGAGACTTTGTACATCTTTCAAAAAACATATTTCTTTGTTTTCCTTTATAACTGATGTCTTTTTAGATATTTATTTTCAAACGTGCTAATACAGTTGGCCCTCTATATCCATGGGTTCTTTGTGAATTCAGCCAATCACAAATTGAAAATACTCAGGGAAAAACTGTGCAGAACATGTGCAGATTTTTTTTTTCTTGTCATTATTCCCTAAACAATTTAGTATAACAGCTATTCACTTAGTATTTATGTTGTTTTGGGTATTACAAGTAAAAGGGATGATAGGTAAAGTATAAAGAAGGATGCTTACAGGTTATATGCAGATACTATGTCTTTTTATATCAGGGACTTAGGCAGTTTTGGTGTTCATGGGAGATCCTGCAACCAATTCCCACAGGTACAAAGGGATGACAAATACTGAAACACAATTCAGCTAGATATGTTGACCTCATGTTCAGCAATTTTGCCATACTCACTTTTAAATAATGTAGATTCTTTTGGACTTTCTGTTTATATAAGCATAGCTTCTGTGAAGAGTGTTGTTTTTTTTTTAAGTTGGAGTCTCACTCTGTCACCCAGGCTTGAGAGAAGTAGCACGCTCCCAGCCACTGCAGCCTCGACTTGCTGGGCTCAGGTGATCCTTCCACCTCAGCCTTCCAAGTAGCTGGAACTACAGGCATGCGCTACCATGTCCGGCTAATTTTTTGATTTATTGTAGAGATGAAGTCTCGCCAAGTTGCCCAGGCTGGCTTCGAACCTCTGAGCTCAGGCAGTCCTCTCACCTTGGCCTCCCAAAGTGCTGGGATTATAGGCGTGAGACCCCGCGCCCGGCCAAGAGTGATTTTTATTTATTTTTCAGTCCTCATGCCTTGTATTTATTTGGCAGGGATTGATTAATTTTCTGTCTCTTCAAAGAACCACCTTGTGTATGTTTGCTTACTATTTTGTTAATTTCCCAGCATACTGCCCACACAGGGAGTCCATTTCTGGCCTGATTCCTGCCCCTGCGTTCTACCCTTCCTGTCATTTTTGCCATCTTCTTCCATTCCTCACCTTTCCAGATGTGTCCACAGGGCGGGACCAGGAGCTGAAATGACACTTGGTGGCAGCCTCCCTATAGGGAGACAGTTTAGCCTTTATGATTGTTTTTTCATTTATAAAATGAAAAGGTTTATAGCTCTAACAGTCTATGTTTTGTTGGTATAAAGAACTGTATGCATAGTCTTTATCAGAATTGTAATTGGATTAGGCCCTCATTTTGGACAAACATAATGTTCACTTGGTAATATGTATATATGCTATAATTTATAATTTACAGAGCCTTGAGTCTTCAACAACTGTTCGTTTTAAATTTGCTGAGAAATGATGCTGCTGACTTTTCTTACCATTTTTATTTTCAGTGCTGAAGTCAGATACTCTGTAGAATATCAGATCTGTGGGAGTTCACAGATTTTTATGGAGTGGTATTACAGATCCATAGCTAACCTATAAAATGTTTGTTATATTTGATGACAGCTTTTGCAACCCAGCTCTGATTCATGCCTCTAGTTTGTCATGTTCAGAAAAGTATGTGCCAATTCTTAACATGACAGGGAGTACCATTCAGTTGGAAAATAATATACTATGGTAGGTTAATGAACTGTAACCAAGGAAACCGGCAGGAATATTTTGAAGAGACAGTTTACCCTTCATGTTTGTTTTTTCATTTGTAAAATGAAAGGGTTTATAGCTCTAACAGTCTACATTTGTTAGTATAAAGAACTGTTTGCATATTCTTTATCAGAATTGTAGCTGGATTAGGCCCTCATTTTGGACAAACAGAATTTTCACCTGGTAATATGTATATGCTACAATGTATATTCTTATATACTTTGTAAAGGTGTTTTTTTTTCCCTATAACATTTGTTTGGTAATGGTTTTACTTTTTTAATTTACAGAGTTAACATTGAATCCTCCAGAAGGAATTGTGGCAGGTAAGGTACTAAAGTTAGCTTTCTTATAATTTACTTTTAATTGCCAAAGTTGCCTTCAAGTTAAAATGTGGAATTTTTTCTTTCCCTGCAGGCCCCATGAATGAAGAGAATTTTTTTGAATGGGAGGCATTGATCATGTAAGTTAATCAAGTGTTACTAGCTTTTAGGACTTTGCTGAAAGTTTGATGTGACAGTCACATTTTGCAGCATGACTGTGCATAGAAGCGTCACCTGGAAGAAAGTCACATGTTCTCGTAACTTCCCATTCTCCTCCAGGCTGCTGATCTGAAAGCAGAAAACACCTTGAGTGTTGGTACAGAAGAAATGGCAATGTTTCCTAAGAGCCAATGAAAGGGTTAGTTATAAATATTATAGATTTGTAGAGTTTTAAGAGGTAATTTTTAAGTGTTGTGTGATCTTGGTAGGTTAGCCTCAAGTAGGGTGGGTAACTGGTTTTCAAAGGTCCCTGAAAATCTGAGGTTTCGACAGTGAGAAAAGGATCTTCAAAGCCAAGGTTGGTAATGCATTGACCCTGCCTGCCTCCGGACATGACAGCTTTTTTTTCTCCTTTCTCCTTGGCTAAGACTTCTCTGTGCTCCTCCTTTTTTTGTTTCCTTGTTTGGCCTTGTAGGCCTTGCATTGTTCTGACCAAGACATAGCCTACTTCTCAGGTGATCTATGTGGTTCTAGATTTCATGGCATTTAGATTACAGTGATGTTGCTTGGAAAGAGAAACACACAGACCCCCAATTCTAGAATGTTCTATGGCCCTTGCTTGTCTTCTTTCTCCCTTAGATATATAGTTTTTGGCCATTCTTAGACTTCGTGTCTTTTCAACAAAGTGAGGTTAGGTGAAACGTAGAAAGTTGACATTTGTAATCAGACCCTGTTTTCTTAGTGAAATGAGATCTTTCAATTTGCTAGAACATTCTTAACTTGGATTTTGTTGACTTGAGAGGGGCTCTAGTAGGCAGGGGCTGGAAGAGTGTGAGGGCAGTGGAGCAAGTGTGAGTTCTGGCTTGAAGATATACCCTTAACTAATCTTCACCGCACTTCTGGAATGTGCTGATTGGTTGTACCACATTAGTTCCTAATGCTTTACAAGTTAGTGTAGGAAACAGTTTACTGTTAGATGTTGTCTGTGGAGGTTAGATGGTACATGAACATTGATGTGAAAATGAGTTGTTTTTTTTTTTTGAGTTGGAGTCTCACTCTGTCACTCAGGCTGGAGTGCAGTGGCACAGCCACCACAGCCTCGACCTACTGTATTCAGGTGGTCCTTCTGCCTCAGCCTTCCAAGTAGCTGGAACTATAGGCATATATCACCATACCTGGCTAAATTTTTTTGATTTATTGCAAAGATATGAGGTCTCACCAAGTTGCCCAGGCTGGTCTCGAACCCGTGGGCTCAGGCAGTCCTCTCACCTCGGCCTCCCAAAGTGCTAGGATTATAGACATGTGCCACTGCTTTTGGCCTAAAATGAGGTTTGTTTGATAAGCAAAATTTTTTTAAAAATTATCAATAAACAACGATCCAAAGGAAGTACAGCATGTCTAACATTTCTGATAATTTGTAACATCCTGATTGCTTGGGCCTGTGACACATGGTTTTTTTGTGTCTGAAGGTTTCTGGAGTCTCTTGGTGTCTAATGTGGCTTGTGTGTCTCACTCCCAGCATAGTTGTGAGTTGGATGGTGAGTCCTGCAGTTAGGTGTCCTCATTTTGCACTGTGTGCCATGCACTTGTGTTGGGTCAACTCTTTTTCCTTCTGCAGAAGCAGGAGATCACATATGTGAACTGATGTGTAACCTGCTTGTTTTGTCTCCTGTGCCATGCGTTCACAGACACATCTGTGCTCACACATGCCAGTTGGGCAGCAGACCTGCTACAGGGCCACCATGGGAGGCCTGTCTGGGTGCAGAGGTCAGGGCACCTGGTGGGTCTGCAGTATTGAGAGATGCCTGCTCACGTGTGCCATTAGCAGATATATTTAGAAACTCATGAAAGGAACAGTTGAGCCTTCTAGTGTGGTTTTAAAAAAATGTTCATTGTTAAAAATCTGTTAAGGTAACTATTACTAATTTTAGATAAACAGTATAGAATTAAACCAATATTTTGAAAACCTGTCTTAAAAAGTAATTAGAGCTATTTGTAGGTAGAGCACTTCTGTGTTTGAATAAGGCTTTTGCATTAATATGGAATTCCCCTGCTTGAAGATCCTGGGGAGTTTGTGGGTTTTGGTTTTGTTCCAGACCTTTCACAAATAAGAGGCCGTTTACAAATGTACTTAAAACCTCTATTAGGGAATTAACTGTCCTTCCATTGATTTGTCTCACCCTGCTATTCTGGCAGACATTTGGCTGAGATTTTGCTCCTCAGTGATAGGTTTCTCCTCACTCTTTTTGTTCTTTGATGGTTTCCAGGGCCACCTCTGTATCTTAGTATTTCTAAAACCTGATCTTGTCTCATGGAAGTCTAATGCTATTGGCTTTTGCTGTTGTGCTTACTTCAGGGCCAGTGAAGAAGATGTCTTTTCAGATGTCCAGGCAACTAATAAAGAGTGCCTCTGTATTAGGGCCCTTATCTGAGGACACAGACATGTCATAGATGAACCCAAATCTTCAGTCTGAGAGCAGGGTTGCAGGACTAGGATGGAGAACTTGACAGATTAGGAATAAGAGTAGCTTTGATGACTACTGAGTTCATAGTGGCGCTAGAGTGTGTGGTCCAGCAGAAGACAGCTATCACTTCGGGTGTGGGCTATGGCAGCCGTGTGTTGTTGCTATGGTCTTCTGGTCTTGGTCTTTGCTTCTCTGAGCTTCCCTTCTTTGAATCAAAACAGAGAGGTTCAGCAACTCTTAGATGGCTTCAGACCTAACCCAGCTGTGGGGTCCATGGCCTGTGTGACCTGCTGCCACTCAGCCATAGTGGGCAAGTGCCCTCTTCAGTTGGAGCACTCTAGGACAGAAGGAGCCCTGAGGTGCAGGACGGCTGTTCACTGTCAGTTACTGGACAGAGCATGAAACCCCTTGGCATTTACTGTCCTGCCCTAGAATTCTAGAACCTGCTGGCATTGGTGCCCTCTATGCCTGGTCCATCTAACTGCAGTCACCTTTCCCTACCAGTAGTTCCTGAGACTGGTAAAATAAGAAGGACCTTCCCAATGCTACTCAACTATTAAAAAAAAGAACAAAGTCATGTCCTTTGCAGCCACATGGATATAGCTGGAGAACACGATTTTAAATGTATTGTCACAGAAATAGAAAACAGAATACTGTATGTTCTTATAAGTGACAGCTAAGCACTGAATACACACGTGCATAAGGATGGGAATGACAGACACTGGGGACTGCTAAAGAGGGAATGGGGGGTAAGGGTTGGAAAACAACCCACTGGGTATCATGTCCACCACCATGTCCAGGTGACAGGTTCAAACCTCATGCAATAGACCTATGTAACAAACCTACACCTTGAATCTCACATAAAAAGAAATAAGAAAGTAAAAAATAAATAAATACATAAATAAAGAAGGATCTTCTCTTGACTGAATGGTGGCTGGGGACCCTTAGTTGACTCTACCTCTATGTGATTGCCTGTGCATTTGGGCCCCAGTGGTGCAGTGGTGGTCCCAAGCTCTCCAGCTGGTGTACTGCAGTGAGCGCAAGGATTCCCAGCTGTTGCTTCTTCTGCTGTGTGCTCTTCTCATGCTAAGTGCACCGTTGCCATCTTTTATGTCAAGATTCCTTTGACTGAAGCCTGTCACAGCAGCTGACTGGTATTGTGTCCTGCTAAAATAAACCTGATGTGTTAAAGTAGATGCTTATCATTGGTATAGTATGTTCTCTGACATGGCCATCCCAACAGAAATGTTGCAGAGATCCCTGTATAAAGAAGGTTTTTCCACATTCATTTTAGTAGTTTTTTAGAAAAGGAAACATCACTGCTCCATATAACTTATGGAACATCCCGGCTGCAAAATGCCTTGTGACTCTAAAATGATTCAGGTGGCATCTACATCCTGGCATGGAAAGAGGTGCACAGTGTGTCAAATGGAAAAGGCAAATTCTAGAATAATTAGGTCCAGACCAGTGGTTTCAACTGAGCATGAGTTTGGCCCCCATAGGAATTCTGATACTGTCTAGAGACATTGTTGATTGTTGCAACATGTTTGGTTCCTGCAATGGGTGCTGTCTGGTTGTGATGCTTCACTCATGCTGGTCTCAGAAAATGAGTGCTATGAGTCTTTAGCTTGACTCTGAAATCACTGGGGCCACTATTTTAATCAATAAGGTGGAAAATAATTTGCAGGCTTTGAAAAATATATATTTGTTTCGGATATATGTATTTGATTTCCTTTCTTCTTGCCCTTTTTTTTTTCTTTTGAGGAGTGTGAGGTGAGGTCACCTTTAAAGAGAGGGGAGCTGTCCTGGAGGGTGGCAGTAAAACCATCTGCAGGCGGTGCCTCCCTCTCTGGCTTTGGGCGTTGGCCTGTGGTGTGTCCACAGAGGCCAGGGCATGCCACTGCACACCGCTGCCCACCTGCACACTTGCGTGAGTGCTGGGGCGTTCTGGAAAAGGAAAGAGCCCAGTTTTAAACCAGTGATGAACGGAGCACTTACAGATAACTCTGATGGTTAAATGTGGGTGCACTCCAGGAAATGTTTGGTCATGCTTCTGAGGCTAGGAACAACCCAGTGGATTTAAAAAAAATAATAATTTGAAAGAAAGCCCTATTATGAGAAACAAAGAACTGTTATCAAAGTATTGAGCAAATGTCATTTGGCTCATTCCAGAAACACTACCCAGACATTTTTCCTTATCCTAGACTCAGAGGTGCCAGCAGTCCTAAGCGCTGGCACGCATTCCTGACATGCTACCAGTGTTGCTTTTAAAGACAATGTCTTCATGTGCCTAGCTTCTGGTTTCACAGTTGGAGCTGTGTTCTGTTCTCAACTCCAGTACTACTCTGATTTAGGATCTTGAAGTCATCTCACCCTTTGGTTTTCCAGCTTTGGTGCCTTCCATCAGATAGTGTGTGAACATGGATGGGTGACATTCATTATTGCTTTTGCATTTGTACTGGACAGGAGCTTGGGTGGCACTCTCACATAGCCTGTGCAACTCTGTGCTGAGAAGGAAGGGCTTCAAGGTATTTGTTTAGGCAATTGCAGAGAAGTGGAATAACCAGGCTGGAGGCACCCCTGGCTGCTGGGCGATACGGGTTCCTCGGGGGCTGTCTTCTCTAGCACTATGTCCTCCTATCACGCTGTGACTGTGCCAGTAGCTAGATTTGCAAATAGGTGCCTACACCTCCTCAGGTGGCATTCCCTGTCCTGGGCTCATGCCAAGGCTTCGGCTGTCATACCTTAACACTCACCCCCCTCCAAACAAAGTGGCTATTCATTGTCCTTTTCCCAAAAAGTAGCAAGGACACCGTTTCCAGAATCAAGATTTGTCTCTCAGACCGAAGAAACGCTGGCATCAGGGAATACTCGCTGCATTGTTCTTGTTTTGACTGTTTCCCACAGATCCAGCCATGCCTGGGCTGTGAGCGGTTCTGCCATCTCCCTTAGGGCTGTTGATGGCCCTGAGTGCCTCCACCAGATAAAAATTAAAGTACTTTGTTCAGTTTCTTTTTAATTTGTTCCATTTCCTTTAACTTAGTGATAAATATTGCTTATATTTGCAAATTCATGTTTTTATTAATTTCACTAAACTATTTCAAAATAGTATTATTTTCAAGATTTCAAAACAAGTTTGTACTTTTAAGAAATCATTTATTTATTTGTTTGAGTCTGGGTCTCACTCTGTCACCCAGGTGGGAGTGCAGTGGCATGATCATAACTCACTGCAGCCGCCTCAACCCCCTGGGCTCAGGTGATCCTTCTCCCTCAGCCTCCCAAGTAGCTGGGACTACAGGCACTCGCCACCATACTTGGGTAATTTTTCTATTTTTTGTAGAGACACCGTCTTACTATGTTGCCTAGGCTAGTCTTAAACTCCTGAGCTCAAGCAATCCTCCTGCCTCAGCCTCCCAAGGTGTTAGGATTATTGGCATGAGGCATTGCTCCTGGCAAAGAAGAGCTGTTTGTAAAGGTACTTGTTCTCTCAATCCATAGAAAGAGAATGGGATTAACTTTCTCATTTATTGACATGTCGGGTTATATGTGAGTAATTTCTACGGCTGCAGTGTGTGTAGCCATCATTCAGCAGTTCTGCTGTCTATTTAAATTCACATGATAAAGGTCACCCAAGATCTTTGAAAACTACTCTAATGCCCATTTCTTTTTTTCTTTTTTCTTTTTTTTTGAGTTGGAGTCTCACTCTGTCACCCAGACTGGAGTGCAGTGGCCACCCCCAACCACTGCAGCCTCGACCTGCTGGGCTCTGGCGATCCTTCCACCTCAGCCTTCCAAGTAGCTGGAACTACAGGCGCGCGCTACCACGCCCGGCTAATTTTTGATTTATTGTAGAGATGAGGTCTCGCCAAGTTGCCCAGGTGGGTCTCGAACCCGCAGGCTTAGGCAGTTCACTCATCTCAGCCTCCCAAAGCGCGGGATTACAGGCCGAGTCCAGCTCTAATGCCCATTTCATTGGTGACATCATAGGGGAAGAGGAGATCATCTCTACTGCAGAAGTGCAGGCTAGGTGGCTGTCACCCTTCTTCTGCTGCTGCCTTCATGTCTTGTATGTTTGCCAAGATGGTGTTAACTTATATCTCTTGGGTTTTAAGACTTGAGCAGGACTTCTGAAATGACTTTTGTCTGTTTCCACCATTTACATGAGAGGAAAATGTGGTCCAGGGAGATGTGCTTGCATGTGTCTAGGATGGTGAGTTGCTGAGTGCTGGTGTCAGTTCAGGTGAGGCAGAGTACATGGCTTGCTGGTGCAGTGTGACCTTTGGCATGCATGTATGTGTGTATGTGTGTGTGTGTGTGTGTGTGTGTGTTTATTCCCATGATGGTAAATTGCTGAGTATTGGCATTAGTATGGCTTGCCAGTGCAGCCTGGATCTTGTTGCATGTGTGCATATGTGTGTGTGTGTGTGTGTGTGTGTGTGTGTGTGTGTGTGTGTGTGTGTGTGTGTGTGTGTGTTTGTGTTTGTACCCAGGGTGGTGAGTTGCTGGCGTCAGCGCAAGTGAGGTGTGGTATGTGGTTTGCCTGTGCAGCCTGGGCTATGGTTTGCAACTGGCCATCTACATTGAGTGTGGAAGTGAGTGCATGATAGCTCTTCTTTATTTGTTTCTTTTTTTTTTTTTAAATTGGAGTCTCACTCTGTTGCCCAGACTGGAGTGCAGTGGCCACTCCCGGCCACCGCAGCCTTAACTTGCTGAACTCCGGCAATCCTTCTGCCTCAGCCTTCCAAGTAGCTGGAACTACAGGCGTGTGCTACCACGCCTGGCTAATTTTTTGATTTGTTGTAGAGATGAGGTCTCGCCAAGTTGCCCAGGCGGGTCTCAAACCTGTGGGCTCAGGCAATCCACTCACCTCAGCCTCTCAAGGCGCGGGATTACAGGCTGAGCCACCGAGCCCAGCTTTATTTGCTTCTTGAAGCTTACAGAAGTCACTTCAGACATGTTTAAAAATTAAAAATATCCTTTGAAATACAACCCAGCCCCTCTTCATTGAAATACAATAGAATCTTGCTGTAACATGCGCCATAATTCATACCTTGATCCAAAGATGTGATTGTGCCACATCTACAGAAAAGCAAAAGCCTCAGGACCTTGCAGTGCTAGTTAGTTCTCTGATCCTATTATCAAGAGGTTTTTCTGCCTGATTCTTACCCTTTTACTTGTAAAAACTATGCCTGTAATTCAGTCTTTGTGCTTGTACCTAAGATTTAAACCAGTTTGGAATGGGAGAATGAGATGTTGCTTTCTATTCAGGAAAAAATACCAATTCATTATTATTTGGATAATCTTCTCGTGTGTTTGTAAAGCAGTGAAAATTTCCTTAACTCATTTTTCAATTCTGTATTTTTAGGGGTCCTGAAGACACCTGCTTTGAATTTGGTGTTTTTCCTGCCATCCTCAGTTTCCCACTTGATTACCCATTAAGTCCCCCAAAGATGAGATTTACCTGTGAGATGTTTCATCCCAACAGTAAGTGCTTTTGAAGTCATTTTTGTGGTACCAGGAAAGGTACAGAGAGATATACCCATATGGACTGTATCTATCCATATATCTGTGGTGTGGACATTTAAAAATACTTAGGTTTTGAAGTATAGCAAGCTAGGCATGATGGTATTAACAGCTCATTTCAATTTCGAAAAACAGGTTATTGTAGGTAAAATAGAAACCTTACTGTCCAATCCCTCACCTAGAACTTCTCATTTACTGCTGATGCTGTTACATGTAGATAATGACCTTCCTCTTCAGAGAGAGACCATTCTGTACTTTTTCTCTGATCTCTTTGTAATTTCAATCTCAGGTACACAGTAGATACTCAAAAACGTGTTTTTTTTGAGGTTCGCCGTGAGCCTGCAGTGGTTGCAGATGGATGACAGGCATATATGGAAGGTCATCATACTGTTGTGTACTTTAGTGTGTTTGGAATATCCATAATAAAAAGTTAAAGAATATATTATGATTGATAGGTAAGAGTCATTGAAGTGTTCAACAATTTCAAGTTGGCTAGTCATAAAATGCAACTATGAAGAGGATTGTAGATGATGAAATAAAATAAGATTGTATTGAAGATAAATACATTCTTTAGAACAATACTTGCGATATGATATTAGAGAAATATTTCCAATAAACTGATTAAATTATGCAAATATGTATTAAGAATAGTCTGATCATTATTTTTAATGTTCTCATAGTTATTTTTACTGTTCAAATGTTAACATAGTTTTAAATTTTTGCCTTACTGTAAGAGGATATGTTATTTTATTTATTTTTTATTTTATTTTATTTTTTTGAGCTGGATTCCCACTCCGTTGCCCAGGCTGGAGTGCATGGGCACACTCACGGCCACCCCAGCATCGACCTGCTGGGCTCCAGTGATCCTTCTGCCTCAGCCTTCCAAGTAGCTGGAAGTACGGGTGTGTGTTACCACGCCCAACTAAGTTTTTATTTATTGTAGAGACGAGGTCTCACCAAGTTGACTGAACTGGTCTCGATATTTTGTAAAAATTTTTTAGACTAACTATAGATCTACCAATATCATAAAAATTGGTCAGTCAGTAAATACTTTAAAAAAATAATTTAACATATCTACTGAGAGTTGCTGGGATGCAGTGGTAAACAAATAAGAAAACCTTCAGAGCCTGGCATGGTGGCTTACGTCTGTAATCCTAGCCCTTTGGGAAGTCAAAGTAGGAGGATAGCTTGAGCCTGGGTGTTCAAGAACAGCCTGGTTAACATAGAAAGACCTTGTCTCTACAAAATTTTTTTTTTTTTTTAATTAGCTGGGTATAATGGTACACACCTATAGTCCCAGCTATTGGGGATGCTGAGGCAGGATTGCCCGAGCCCAGGAGGTCCAGGCTGTGGTGACCCATGATGGTGCCACTGCATTCCAGCCTGGGCGACAGAGTGAGACTCTGACTCAAAACAAACCTTCAGGGCTTACATACAGTCTTAGGGCAGGGATGGACATTGATGAAGAATCATACAGATAGTTGTATAACCACATCAGAAGGATGTGAGAAGCACCCTGTGGAGGTGGTGGCTGAGCTGACCATGCACAGGAAGTGAAGCCAGAGTTCCTAAGTGATTTCTGCTGGGGTTGGGGAGTGGATCCAGCATGTGCGGAGGCACACTGTAGGAGGTCAATGGCGAGGAAGGCAGGACCAGCCAGCACAGGCCTTCTGGTCAGTGTTTAACGTGTTGATGTTTCTTTTGGAAGCAGCAGGGCTCCACAAAGGGCTCCCCTGTCTGAGTGTGAGGGAGCAGTATGACCTTGCTGAAGGGCGCAGAGAGCAGACGGCAGCCTGGTGGTAGTCTATTTATTGGAGAGGTGCCAGCATCTTAGGACCAAGTGTGGGCATGAAGACAGAGAGGTGGCTTAACAGAGGGTTAGGAAGTAGAGCTGTCAGGAGAGGCTGTGACAGGGACACAGTGCTTCTGGTTGCAATGTCACTGCATGTACCATCACCTCAAGGAGGTGATGTGGAAGTAGGGAACTTCCAGATGGCATGTGTGGGGACTGTGGATGGATATCCTACTGTCCATGACAAGTGCGTACCCAGTTTCTTAAACTCACTCCTTGAACGAGTAGTCACCATGGAAACTGGCATGGAAAACACAGGACCCCAGGGTAAAGGCAAGGTTTTTGGGAGGTGGATGGTAATGTTAGCATTGGTCAGTTTTCATGGAATTCTTGACTCTTGGATTAAGGTGCGTTTTAATAAAATTTATTTCAAATTGTTTTTTTAAATTTTAACTTTAATGGCTTTATAATCTTGCAGTGGAGTCCATCCAAATGGATTACCAGACATTTGAGTATATATTGAACCACCTGAGACTTACTCCCAAGTATATGTCAAAGAAAAACAGCAGACACTTTTAACTTTCTTGATAGGACTGATTACATGCTGTGAATTGAAGATCTATTTCTCTTTACCTGGCTTTGGGTGTCTTGTTAATTATGGTATTTGATGGAGAGGAATTAGGTGTAGACACATTGACCTCCAGTAGTAATTGATGACAATTTCTCTGTTAGAGTAAGTTACCAAAAGGACTTTTGGTATCTTTCTTTTTCTGGATGCTTATTTATTTATTTTTTTGAGTTGGAGTCTCACTCTGTTGCTCAGGCTGGAACAGTGGCACGCTTATGGCCATCGCAGCCTTGACCTGCTGGACTCAAGTGATCCTTCTGCCTCAGCCTTCCAAGTAGCTGGATCTAAAGGCATGTGCCACCATGCCCGGCAAATTTTTTGATTTATTGTAGAGATGAGGTTTTGCCAAGTTTCCCAGGCTGGTCTCTAACCCATGGGCTCAGGCAGTCCTCTTCGCCTTGGCCTCTCAAAGTGCTGGGATTATAGGCGTGAGCCACCGCACTCAGCCTTTCTGGATATTTAAATAATTCCTGTTGTCTTTATTCCAGCCAGGTGAATGTAATTTTACACAGTCCAGTTCAGGGATTTAATGGTAGAATTAGAAATCTCTCAGAAACTGGCTCTGTGAATAATTCAATTAAATTAGCTATTTTGATGAGCTGTTGGCTAGGCAGCCTTTCAACTTATTTCTTTTGGATATAAAGATTTAGACAGTCCTGAGGAGTTGGAGTGGTGCTGTCTTGATGAGGACTGGCCTAAGAAGGTGTAGTGGTGCTGTGATGATGAGAACTGGCCGGGCTGACCTGGGGCCTCGGCGAGTAAGCGGCCCTAATCCTGCAGGCCTGCTGGGATCCATGCAGACAGGACATGTGACGCTCAGGGCCCCAGGCTGTGCCCAACTGTGCAAACAGCTCACTGTGTCTGCAACCCTTGTTCTTATCATCTGTAGAGCCTCCCCCAGTACAGAGTTTCCACGGCCTGTTCCTGGGTTCACCTAGTTGCCTCTTACCCTTGCAGTCTACCCCGATGGGAGGGTCTGCATTTCCATTCTCCACGCCCCGGGCGACGACCCCATGGGCTACGAGAGCAGTGCTGAGAGGTGGAGCCCCGTGCAGAGTGTGGAGAAGATCCTGCTGTCGGTGGTGAGCATGCTGGCAGGTAAGGCCAGCCAGCCCAGTGCAGGGAGCTGGGCAGGAGTCCCCTGGAGGAGCCCAACCTGCTGGCTCTCTTCTCTTCATTTGGTCCCGACTCTGTGATGTACTTTATTCGAATGTGATGAGTTTACAAGCACCACTTTCATTTCCTGTGACTTGTATGCAGTGTCCCAAGTTTAACGTGTTTCATGATGATGGAATTCAAGGGCAGTGTGTGTTGCCCAGCATGTCACTGACCATGATTCCTCACTCTTTAGTCCTTGAGCATTTCATTGTCTCACTAGGTATTTATTGGGGGCCTACAAAGTGCCATATGATACTGGAGGAGTAAAGTCAGTGTGACAGAGGCCCCAGCTTGAAGGTCCCACCTTCTAGAAAACTGTCCACATCCACTTCATCTAGAGGCCAGTAGTTGAATCTTGAGATCAAATATGCACAGCGCTCTTGGGCCACTTCTTGAGACAGTGTGGGTTCAGGATCTGTAGGAGTTAACAGGGTAGGAGGGAGGGAAAGACACTTGGGGCAGAGGAAGCAGTCTGGGCTGAGGCCCAAGACAGGAGGCAGCCAACTTGATGGGACCACTGCCAGCTCCCTCTGACTGGAACCAGGCCTGGGGGGCTGAAGGAGGCCCTGCAGATCATGGAGTTTTCAGTGGGGCATGGCGTCACCTGAGTGGTGCCTTACAAAAACTGTCCTTGTAGTAGTCACCAGTATGTGATTACAGGAGAAACAGGGACTAGCTGGCTGGTGATGCAGTGGCACAGGAGGGAAAAGAGAAGGGCCTGAGTAGTCCCAGGACAAAAGGGAAGGGGAGAGTTGGGAGACCTGGAAGGTATAGGCTGTAGTACTCCTGCTTCTGATGTGAGTGCTGGGGTGCTGTCTCTGGGGTCAGGAATACAGAGGGAGCAGGATTGGGGAAAGGGTTTGAGGTGTGTGGGAGTAGGGGCCTATATCCACCTCAGGGACTGAATGTGGAAGTGAAGGTGTGAAGCCATTTCTAGATAGGCAGTAGGTGACAGGGGGGGACAAGGAGTGGTAGTGTAGAAGCGGGAGGAATCCTCAAAGGGATGGAAGGAGGATGATCTGGGAAACCAGGAGGAACAACAGTGCTGGGAAGTGAGGAAAGAGTCTCCAGGGAAAGAGCAGACCTCATAGGAGGACAGTGGATGCCAGAGCAAGGCCACTCAGTCCTAGACAGACCCCTAAGGTGCTGGTGCAGTGGGACGCAGGGAGACATGAAGTTGGGGCTTATGATGCATGCATATCTCCTAAGAGGACAGACATGGAGCTCTGTTCACATGCTGACTGACACCACCACCATACCGCACAGCTTATAGCTGCTGCTTTGGTGCCATGTCCCTTTCAACCTGGGGTCATCTGGTGGGAGCCATGAGGGCAACTCCGCCAAGAGGGTGCTCTGTGAGGGAGATGTGGCCCTGCGAGTGTCCTCAAAGGGTGGAGCAAGCTGCAGGTGGGTTCTGTGTAGCTTGTTGTCTGGGTGCTGAAATGTCATGCAGCTCAGGCAGGTCTGGGGAGATGGTGGGCCTGGTATTGGGCTATCACCTGCTCTTAGACTCACAACCTGGGAGGCATGAGAGTGGCTCTGCTCTGAGGTGCGTGTCCACCAGTGCAGAAGCTACACCAACTGCATTTGCTTCTTGGGCTCTGGGACTTGTGTCTTGCAAGGTCCATCGTGTTTCAATGAAGTGGAAGCTCTCATGAGGTTGCTCACTCTTGAGACCCCTTTCTATGAACTTGTTTCCCTTTCTTCCAGAACCCAATGATGAAAGTGGAGCCAACGTGGATGCTTCCAAAATGTGGCGAGACGACCGCGAGCAGTTTTACAAGATTGCCAAGCAGATTGTACAGAAGTCTCTGGGGCTTTAAGGCCTCACCCCGTGCACGCACAGACGTGTCCCACATGTGCACATACATACCACCAAGCAGTTCAGCATTCTCCTCCGGAACACTTCGTGATCGCAACACTCTGTGCTGATACCAAAAAGGAAAGCTTGCAGGAACCACAGCATCTATTTTTTTTTAAAATCTTTCCCACCCTAAACAGGCTTCTCCTCTCAACTTAGGATTTAAGTTCTCCCCTAATCCTCTCAAGGTGGTCCAGGTAGATGGTCAGAGCTGTCATCACTACCTCTCCCAGCTGAAACTCCACAGACCCAGCAGTTCTGGCTTCCTGTGAATTTCCCTCCTTCCTGGAGCATCAAGGAGTGTACATGCCAGAAATCCCCTCCACTTCCCCGCATGATGGTAATGGAGGGGAGAAGCAAGGCCTTGAAGCCTTGGTGGGGGAGTGTTGACCTCTCTGTGGGCTTCCTGGGACTCTTGTCATATTTCACAAGCAGAAGTTTTTCTTAGAATCTGGTTACATCTTTTTCATTTGTTGTGTATTACAAACCATCACACTTAGAAATGCTTTCAGAAAGTGCTTTCTTATTTGTGGATTAATAAGAAATGGGTACATGGAAAAGAAATACATTGCCAGTTATAAAGACTAATAGGTTTTTTTAAGTTATGGCTTGTGTCCTGGTTACTAATGCATTATTAGAGCAGGTACAGGTGAGATCTTTAAAGTTGTAGTGAGCTTCTTCTGGATCCACGGGTGTTTTTCTTTTCCAATCTGAAAACTGGAAGCTATAGGATTTTGCACATTTTGATTGCACCGGGAATTTAACTATTGACACAAGGTCATTCTTTGCAACTCCAAGTCAGAAGGGACTCTAAACATTACTCAGCTCAGAGCACAGAGGAGTGCCTTATCCCAACCTTGACCAGCTCATGGAGGTGGGCATGTTGGGTCCCCGGGCCTCAGGCTGGAGACAGCACTTTTTTGTGACTTAACGATTTTGATGTGGTTTCGGTGTCTCTAACGTGATCTGCCGGGCAGCACAGAGCCAAGAGTTCACATTATAAGCAATAACAGATCTGTTGCATGCAGAGTCAAATATTTGACCTGTAACAGACAGGTTAAATTTAAATAGGAATCTCTATTTTTGAAACAAGGGATGGTCTATGAGGCATACAATGAACTTCATATGATGTTTTCTCCTTCCCTTTCTAATGGATTAAGCGCACTGTAGTCTGTCTGATTGAACCTGAAACGTCATGACAGTTCCTGGTTGAGAGGCTCCGTGTCCACCTCTGCAGATGCCAGATTCTTTCCTTCTCAGAAGGGAAGCACTCAGAATTTGAAATGCAGTACAAAAACTTGTATTTGGAAGGGCTAGGGAAAAGAGAGGTGTTGTACCTAAATAGTATTTGCAGGCCCTCTCCATCACTTAAAGAAGAGAGGTTTGTGCGAACAGCCAGGTGTGGGCGTGGGGCTCCCTGGCAAGTAGGCCCAGAGTGCACATGCCTGCCCTTAGGCTTCCATGAGTTGTGGAGAGGGAGGGAGGCAGTCTACTAAACAAAGTGTTTTTATTCATTTGTATTTATTAAATGAAAAGAATCCCATGGTGTCCCTGTTCTGTGGTGGAGCTTAATTACTGGGTTAAAATAAAGTTCTATATTTTCCCCTGTTCTTCATGATGCTTTCCTTCTTGTGTTGTCACATGGTCATAGAGAAGCCTGGGACCAGGCTGCCAGGCCCGGATCAGGGTTTCCTGAAACAGAGCACAGCCTGACCATTTGGGTTGACACTCAGTACCAGGACTCCTCACAGCAGGCACTTTCTGGAGACTCATGTTAGTCCTGGAAGTTCTGTTCTCTTTTTCTTCTTTTCTTTATTCTCTGCAGTCTTCTGGAATTCTTGGGTTTCTTGGTTGGGGTCTGTGAGGTGTATGTGTGCATGAACGTGTGACAGAGTTCAGCATTTCTAACAAACTCCAGTTGTGAGTGGCGCCCGTGGTTCATCTCCCTGGAAACCAGGTGTCCTGAGTGTGCTTCATGCCTGCTGGTACCTCAGTATGCAGCTCATTCTTTTTTCTTTTTTTTGAGTTGGAGTCTCACTCTGTCGCCCAGACTGGAGTGCAGTGGCCGCTCCTGGCCACCGCAGCCTGCACCTGCTGGGCTCCGGCGATCCTTCCGCCTCAGCCTTCCAAGTACCTGGAACTACAGGCACGCGCTGCTACGCCTGGCTAATTTTTTGATTTATTGTAGAGATGTGGTCTCGCCAAGTTGCCCAGGCGGGTCACGAGTGCAGCTCATTCTTACCACCATGTTTGTGACAGCCACTGCCAGCCCTGCCTCTGAATCCTGTTACTCATTTTGTTCATAGAAAGGCCGATTCCTATTTCACTGACTTACTGTCTCTGTTTTTGCAACTTCCAATAAACTTCGTAATCCATGTCTTTATTCATTTAAAAATGCTCTGAGCTGGGGTTCCCAAGTTCATGGCAGGCCCTTCCAGGGCTCATTCCCTGGCTCCTCTCCATCCCCTGGCTTCTTGGTGCCTCTGAGCCCCGTGTCTCTCGGCACAGGCCCCCATAGTGTCTGTTTGCCTGTCACCTAGTGTTCTCAGAAGCCACACTTTCCAGTATTTTTTGTTTTGAGTAGGAGTCTCACACTTTTATCCAGGCTAGAGTGCAGTGGCATACTCACAGCCACTGCAACCTTGATTTGCTGGGCTCAGGTGGTCCTTCTGCTGTCATACAGCCACTGCAGCCTTGATCTTGCTGGGGTTAGGTGGTCCTTCCACTTCAGCTTTTCAAGTAGCTGGATCCACAGGCATATACCACCATGCCCAACTAATTTTTTGATTTATTGTAGAGATGAGTTTTCGCCAAGTTACCCAGGCTGGTTTCGAACCCCTGGACTCAGGCATTCCTCGCCCCTGCCTCCCAAAGTACTGGGATTATAGGAATGAGCCACCACACTCAGCACACTTTACAATATCTAACAACTCTTATGTGATACTGAGTTGTTTTCCAGGCCACCCAGGGGCAGGGATTTGAGGGCATAGGACCAGACAGGTTGTGGTCATGGTGACTGGCTTACTATGGGGAGAGGACACAGTAAAGCCAGCAAAGGGAAAAACACTGAGGGCCAAGTCCAGGGGAAACCAGGCATGGTCCCATGGGATCTCATGGAGTCTCCTGGGTGAGGGTCTTACAGGACACACCTAAGTCCCCCCTCATGCAGCTGTGACAACACATGTGAGATGTCTACCAGGGAGCATGACTGACTGTGCCCAGGGTTGTCACTTGTGACTGACCATGTGGACATGTGCTATTTGAGATGTGCCAAAATTCCAGACACCCAGAGGGACTGCAAGTGTTCTGCATACACCATGTTGTTTATTCAGACAATTGAGGCCCAGTGAGGCTGGTGGTGGGAGCCCTACTGACATCGAAGTGCCCAGCCTAGGGCAGCCCTTGTCAGTGAGGCTTGGGATGGCCATCCCCAGCCTGCTGTAGTGACTTTCCTAAACAGATGTTCTGAATATTGCCCTTTGGGGGTTTTACGTAGATTCATTTATTTTTAATCTTCTGGGTTCATGATTATTAGATTTGTTTTTAACATTGCTTTCCTGTCTGTATATATCTCTGGCATTGGTCTGCCATAATGGTCCTGATTTAAGTGAGTGCCATCCTTGGTTTGCCTGTTTGCCTGTCCTGTTCTTGGGATGGCTGCTGGGACAGCCAGGGAAATTCTGGGTTTCATCTGGGTGCTTTGCACCATTCCTGTGTGTCAGGAACCCCTGTTTACTGCCTGAGCCTGAGTCTGGCCTGGCCACACCACAGTGAGGGTGGCATCTACAGACTGTGCTCCACCTTCCAGGATGCTTGCACCTGCTGTGGCTTCTGGTCTGATTTCTGTGTTGATGAGGTGGCTGATTTTTCAGAGGAAGTACTGGCCCACATCATTCAGTTTTTTGTAGATTACAGAATCTGCTCTAGCTGCACAGAAAGACATTGGCAGGATGCACTACCCCACCCTGGATGCCCTGCACTGTGGCCGCCTGAACAGATGAGGTTTCTGCAGAGCCCAAGTCCTCTGCTGGAGGCGGGGACCCTGGGGATGCCACCTGGACACAAGGAGGGGACAGTAAAACGATTTGAGGCTGCCAAGGGCAGAGCAGGCACACTGGGGGATAGGTTAATTCTGGAAACCCTGTCCTGGAGGGACAGTAGGGTAGGAAGGGGTGGACAAGCTATGGTCAGATCCCACTAGGCGCCTGCCTGGGCCCAGGACCCAGGACCTTGGGGACAGCCCAGGAGGAGGTCTGAGGACTCCAACACAGGAGTCCCTGCAGGGGAGAATGGTGTTGGATGCCACAGCTGAGCTGTGTGGAAACTGGAGGCATCCTGTTGTTTATACAGACAGTTAAGACACAGTAAGGCTGGCAGTGGGAGCCTTCCTTGATTTATTGTAGAGATGAGTTCTGTTCGCCTGCCACCCAGTGTTCATTTGTCCCCAGCCCCGCTTGAAATGGACTTTGTCAAGGGGACAAAACAATATACCTCCCTGCAGAGGAAGGACAGGCCAGCTTTCGTCCCACAACCCAGCTCTGCTCAGCCAGCCACAGCCTGCACCACTCCCCACACTGCCGCACCTTCCCAGCCCCCAAGCCCACCCACTGTCCAGTGCCCTTGAGGAGGCCGTCCTGTGTCCTAGAGAAGAAACTCTGGTGTGAGCCCAATGTGCTTGCAGGAAGTATATCCCTGCCACTGGTTGTGCACTGGCGCACATCCTGGCCTGCTGTCTCTAGATGTGTGTTGGTCAGGACCCTCTTCCTGGAGCGTCAGGGAGATGTCTCCCCTCAAAAGCCATGAACCTGTGTGCTTCTCCTCTGCCCTGTTCCCACACCTGCTGGACTGGGAGCACCCTTGGTTGTATGGACCCAACACCCAGGCTCGGGATCTGGAGCAGAAGTTCCCAAACAGCCTCCTGTCCCAGCATACATCCTGGGTCTGGGGGGATATGGGCATCTCCTCCAGGTACCTCCACCTACATCCACTCATCAAGACAGTCTCACAAGGTATGCCAAAGCCCCCCAGCCAGGAAAGGGGGCTTTCACGACACCCCCTATGCAGAACTGAATCTCAAAGTCCCCTTCCCTCTGTGGTCACAGCCTCTTGTTCTCCCCAGGTTTGGTAGGCTCCGTGTCAGCTGCCAGCAACTCCCCTGTTGACTTTGGTTGCATGAGCCCCCATCTGCATCCTCCACGCAGCATCCATTTAGACCTAGGGGCCTGTGGCAGGCTTGGTCACTCCATCCTCCCCAGCTTCAGTTGCTGGCCCTTGTGATAGTCGGTCACCTCACCATTCTTCTGCCACCTGGTCTGTCCTCTAGCCCACCCACCACCCTCAGGCTCCTGAGCCCACCCTCTGCGATTAGCTTGCCTTTCACCTGGGGACTGGAAGGCTCCAGGACCAGCCCCCTAGTACCTACCCTCCTGCACCTGGAAGTTCCTTCCCACCAGCTCTGGGGGAAGTGCTCTGTACCCCTGCAACTTTTTGCTCCAGAATCTAGATTTTCTTTCTTCTGCAGTGACCAGAAGTGTTGTGCTTTCTTGAAGGGTGGCCTGCCCTCCAGCATGCCCCTTGCTGGGTGGGCGCTCTGACCGATGACTCGCTTCTCTCCCTAAGTGTCCTCTAAACAACACTTGAGTGGCCTTGGGCTGGGGTGACGATCAGGGTATGCTTGAGCTGGTGGCCTGCCACATGGCTGTGCTGTGGCTCTAAGTCATTGTCTTGGGTGGAATATGAGCAACAGTCACTTTCTGTTGCTATCAGTTTCTCTTTTGACTAAATCTACAATTCCATGTGAAGCTAGGATAGCTGTAAGTGAAAGGAACTGATTTGTCAGATGTATGAGCACAGGATGGACAGACCTATCCCCATAGTTGGGAGATGTTGTAGAACCCTGTCCTTCCTTCAAGCTTCATTGTGGCATCTTCTGTCATGTGACAGAGAGAGTGGGGCTGGCCCCATCCTGTGGAGGCTACACAGGGCCCTGCCAGGGCTGTTGCCTAGGGCTTGCCAGGTGGGGGCAGAGTTGGCCTGAGGCAATGGGGAGGGTCTCAGGAAGCCAGAAAGAAGGATGTGTGTGAAAGCCAGAAAGAAGGTATATGTGTGGTCCTACTTCTGGGCAGAGGCTGAGATGTGGTCTTGGGCTGGTGGTCCTCCTGCTGCCTAGTGGCTGTGAGTGAAGTGTGGACCTGGAAGTTGGGAGGCACCTCTGGCTGCCTGCTGGGGCTCAGCCTAGTTCAGACCCCAGAAGCTGGAAAGCCTGGGCAAGCCAGGTAACCCCTCTGGGCCTTTCTTTTCTAATCTGTGGATGTGGTGGCAGGACTGCTCCAGCTCTATAGAGTAGACATGAGGATTAGAGTCCAGGTGTGCAGAGCACAAGGCTGGTCAGCCAGGGAGGAGATGGCACCTCTTCTGTGATGGCACAGCAAGTGTGCCCAAGGAGGTCTGCGCCCACCCCATCCCCCCCACCTCCTCTGGGGCAGATGCCCGTCTCAGGCCCTCCTGGTCAAGCACATGTTAGAGCCTTGGTCAGGACATCTGCCTTCAGCTGTCCTCCTTGCTCTGGCAGCCCCCCAGGTGTAGTGGGCTTATGGGTGCCAAGAGGGAA